ACAACAATATCCATATCTATATGTTGCTGCTGTTAAGTGCTGCTGAGTCAGTTCTAACTCATAGCAACCCTGTATAGGGTCTTCAAGGAGCGGGTGGTGAGTTTGAACCACTGACCTTGCGGTTCAAACCAACCTCATGGTCAAATGCTTATCCTACAGTGCCACACCAGGAGCCCCAAATCTCTCTCTCTGTCTATCTATCTATAGAAAGAGTATGTGTGTATGAGAGAGAGAGTATGTGTGTGTGAGAGAGGTTTCTCTTATCAAGGAAATGGCTCACACAGTTGTGAAGGTGGCAAGTCCCTAGTCTGTGGGTCAGATGTCTGGCTAAAGGCTTCTGACTCCCGTACCTGCAGGGTTGATGAACCAAGATTAGCAGGTAAGACAGCAGGCAGGCAGGTAAGAAGGAAGGCAGCTGACAATTCCCAGGACTGGTAGGTAATGGAGCAGATCACTGGCTCAAGTCCAAAGAACTAGAGGTTGGATGATGAGCCAGACACAAGCTCCAAACCCAGCATTGAGCATGCAAACTGAGCCTGAGAGTCTGATATATTGGGAGCAGACCACACCCCTGAGGAAGCTTCCTTTTACTTGATTGGTTGCTCATAGCAAAACTCATCATAGAGAATTACTACATCTTAACTGCCAAATCACTGAGAATTCTGGCCCAGTCAAGCTGAAACAAAACTTTCACAATCTGCTACTTGTCAACTTGGCACCTGCTCAAAATTCATTAAACTACATATATGACCCCTGAATAAAGACAATTAGAAAGTCACACTTGGACCTAACATGATACAACTAACATGTGTACAGCCAAAAACAGACCAACCCCATTTACATCTTACATCTCATCAATGAATGAAAAAAATTTTTTGAGGCACACATGCAAGGAAGAAAATACTCATAACAAATAGTCATTTCTGCAACTGATCATGTGCCCATAGCTGGTATTTAGAGCTACCTTCTTCTACCTTGTTCTACCTTCCTTCCACGTTCCTTGTGCCCCTTAGAAAGCATCTCAGCTGCTCATAGAGACTGTAAACTCCTAAGGTATTAAAAAAATTCAATTTGTTTTCTTGAGATTACTTAGCTGAATATACAAGTTGCATGATAGTCTTGTATAAGTTTGTGAAACACTTAGTAGAAAAAAGGCAAGCTTTGAGAGAGAGGATCAAACAGATTTATCTGTGGCGTATAGGTGACCCTTGAACAACGCTGCAGTTAGGGGTGAGACAAACTGCATATGCTGAGCTGATATGCACCACACTCACTGAAACTGCAACAGGAAAAAACAGCCACATGTAAGTGGGCCTGTGCACTTCACACCGTATTGTTCAAGGATAACTGTATTTCAATAAAAACACACATGCCCAATGCTCTTGGGATTAGCCAACAACTAGGTGTTACAGTGATAACGAATGTGGGATTTTAAGTTTGAGATGCAGATCTCAAATATCATCTGCCCTGCATATGCTCCTCTCCCTGTTGCTGTTGTTATTGTGTGCCAGCTAGTCAAGTGCAGCTCATAATGACACAATATAGGGTTTCCAGAGCTGCTCATGGGTTTGAACTGCAGACCTGGCAGTTATCAGTCAAGTTTTTACCCTACAGCAGCACTACATCTAAAGTTTTGAGATACTGCATGCCTCACACGTCAGTGTGACAAAGAGAAAAACAATACCCAGTACCGAGACAGTACATGACACGAAACAAAACAGACACTCAATAAACACCGATGTCTCTTCATTACCCCAAGAAAGAATAGTTCGATTCTCAGAAGGTAGTTTAGAAGTGAAGAAACACCAATGCACCTAAAATTTGGTCATTTCCTCCTCTCAGGGAAATTACAAAGTTCTGAAAAGGCAGAGTTAGGGAAGAAGAAAAACTGTCTTGAAAAATGAAATCAACTTCACAGGACATACAC